GCCATCAGGTCGAGGGAGGTGATTCTCCCCCTGTACTCTGCTCTCGTAAGGCCCCACCTGGAGTACTGTGTCCAGTTCTGGAGCCCCCAACACAAGAAAGACATGGACCTGTTAGAACGAGTCTAGAGAAGGGCCACGAGGATGATCCGAGGGCTGGAGCACCTCTCCTATGAGGACAGGCTGAAAGAGTTGGGGCTGTTCAGCCTGGAAAAGAGAAGGCTCTGGGGAGATCTTATAGCGGCCTTCCAATACCTGAAGGGGCCTACAAGAAAGCTGGGGAGGGACTTTTCATAAGGGCAACTAATGACAAAACAAGGGGAAATGGGTTTAAACTGGAAGAGGGTAGGTTTAGATTAGATATGAGGAAGAAATTCTTCACTGTGAGGGTGGTCAGACACTGGAACAGGTTGCCCAAGGAAGTTGTGGATGTCCCCTCCCTGCAATTGTTTAGGGCCAGGTTGGATGAGGCTTTGAGCAACCTGATCTAGTGGAAGATGTCCCTGCTGATGGCAGGGGGGGTTGGAACTAGCTGGTCTTTAAGGTCCCTTCCAACCTTCACCATTTTATGATTCTATGATTCTACAATTTGGACCCAAAACCAGTCAATTAGAAGACTTATCAAGGTCTGATACATAGAGCAAATATATTGTTCAAATTTTATTATTGACTCAAAGAGGCAACTTAAAGTATAAAAAACAGACACTGTATGGTAAAAGAACTCTGCCAGAGGAAACCTCTAACTTTATCGAGTCAGGTCTTGAAAATCTCAGAGGATGGAGACTGCACAAATTCGCTGGGAAGTCCATTCAAGTGCCTGAATTGTCCTCATGGAGAAAAAAGTTTTTCATAACTTTCAGGTTGAACCTCTGTGGCTTCACCTTATTCCTGTCGCCTCTTGCCTTCCCAACATGCGACACTGTGCAGAGCCTGGTCCCATCCCTAGGGTAACTTCTTTGCTGTGGACTTGTATGAGGGGGTGGAGAGTGGGTACAGTTGGCTGGTGTAACATACAGAAACACTTGATCTTTTAATGGCAAGGAGCAGCTCAGAATATTAGCCACATAAGGAATAACCCAGTCATGAGGTAATGGAGACAGGCAGAAAAATCCTTTCTTATGTTTTATACATTAGTCTTGCAGATATTCTTCTCTTTAGTTTGAAAATGCATATTTGGTAGGAGAATGCTGGCTGCTGCTATCAGCCAACTTTCCAGTTGCAAGCTGAAGAAATGCTAGATCTGGAAATTTTTCTGCTATGCTGTGACTGGTGAGGCAAGGAAATGACACACGAGCACTAGGAGCTGAGACAGCTGGGCAAAATATTGCGAGTTCAGTGGAGGTTGTACCACACCAGGAGTGGAATACAGATGGATAAACACTTGGACTACTATTAATACATATGAATCTGGTGAGAGAAGGGAACTGAACACAGGAATTTCAAGCAAACAGCAATATCCATGTGGAAGAAATTATGAACTAGCCGGAAGATGTAGTGAAACGCAATGCATTTGTAGTGGAGAGCTCTGAATACCCAGCTGGATTATACAAATGTTTAACAGGAAAGACAAATTCACCCTCATTCTCCGAAAGTGTAGATTTGTACTAAAAGGACATTCTGAGCCACTTGCACTAATTCCTGATTTTAACAGTTTCATATAAGAACACATGAAAGAAATATGTATTGTCAGCTTTCCCTCAATATAGCTGAACAGAGGAATTTATGTGTGTTTCAACTGCATGAATACATCCAGGTTTTGCAGAGTACCAACAAATGATTTATATATTAACAATAGTCATGTCTGCAGCATTTTGTCCCTGAGCCTTTTGAGTCTTTGTATTCAAAGTTTCATGGGGCTTGCCCTGGGAAATTTAGGAGTGCAGGTTATTAAGATACCACAACTGCACAAACTGGGTTTTTGTTTAATGTTACAGTAAGAAACAGGGTCTTCTGTACACCACTTCAGGTATTATACATATTTTTTGGTTTTCTTTCTCCCTATCTCTTCAAATATATTTGTATGTTTGGATACATGGATACAAAAGCTATCAAATTTTTAGCATATAGAAAATAGTCTTCACATCTTTAAAAATGAAAGCTATCTCCTGAAGGTATCTTTAGATTTTCTGAAATATGAAAATGCATATTTAGTAGGAGAATGCTGAGTCTTATTTTGCTTCTTATCTTTTCTGGTAAGTCTCCCATACAGATCTTCTTGAAAAAAATTATCACCAAAGGTTTTACCTGTGAGGATTTTATGTTGGGCTGACATTTCATTTGTATTTCTATTCTTAAAAAAGATAATTTTAAAATGATATTTCTTAATGAGGTTTTATTAAATATTTTATGCACCATGTAGAGAACTTGGTATTCAAGATACACAGGTCTATCAACAGGGACCTCCTCAGCGCTACACTGGAGCTTTTTTCTACAATAGTAGACAAGCAAATTCTGTTTAAGAGAATTTGACATTCTTAGTCACTCTTTTTAGTTTTGCAAGCTTGACCCTCAAAATACCCAGCATGGTCACTTGTTATTCTGCAACACAGCAGCTATTAGACATGTACCCAAACATGGAAGGGAAAAGGAAAAAAAAAAAAAAAAAAAGGAAGAAAAAAAAAAGAAAACTGATAACATCACTCAGTTACTTCATACAAGTTGAAAGCCTTACTTACATCTTCCCATTCACCTGCCAACCACTGATACTGCACGCAGGCAGGCAGCCAGCAATGCCTTTTGCTGACAGGCCGGGTACCGTGATTACACATCGCTTCACTCACTTGACCTAGGCCCTTCAGCTGACAGTAGATGTCCCTTTGCTGAATCCCCACTCCACAGGATACAGAACACTAAAATGGATCAAAATTAGTTATGTTAGTGTGAAATGAGACAGTCCCTAGAAGATGGTATAGTTGCCACTGTTAAAAATTCTTAGGATATTATCTAAAATATACTTCACAGCCTCTACCATACTAGTGTTTTATTGTATCTGAATAAATTTATGTTGAAAATGTAAAACTACAATTAAAATCAAAATTTGTAAGAAATATGGAAAATAAATACATCAGAGTTACCTAGAATGATCTTTCTGCTTATCTTAATTCACAGTAGTAACAATCACTATAGGCATAGGTAAAGTAAAAGTTTACATTTTGGCAGATCAAAATGTTTAAGTTCTGAGTTTACATCATTCCTTTCTAGAGACTGACAGTCTTGTCTATTGTTTTAAAATGCAAATATTAAAATGAAAGAAAAAAATCTCAGTATGGCAGGTTAGAAAAATCTTGCAAACAGTGCAGCATTTTGAGGATACCTTTTATTTTGCAGGCAGTACAAAGGATTTTGAATCCCAAGGAGCTTAAGAAGGTTAAAATCCTTAACATTTTCCTCCTTCCTGGCCAAAGGTATTTCACTACAATACTAAGGCTTTCTGAGATAGGCAGCCCCCTTTTACCCCAGTCAGAAGCAGGGTTAGCTCCCAAAGCCTTACTAAAGACTCAAGCCTAATCACGAAGTACACACTGCTCTATCAAGTGTGGCCAAATTGTGCAAAGTGGTAATGTGTTTTTATCAGTGTTGGGGAATTAGATTTTGAAAGAGTGAAATGCAAAACATTACCATGTGCTCAGTTACATACAATTTCACAAGAAGAGAGATCTCTCAGGAGACCAAACCAGTGAAAAGGCCACTGTGTGTGCCCACAAGCCCTTTTTCTTATCCTTCCCCCACAAACCTGGCTTCACTTCAATATTCAGATTATGACAGCAATTACAGGGATACTACTTAAATTATCACTGAAGGTAAGAAGTAAACTTTAAAAATTTACTGTCAGTTTGAAGTTACAAGGTAAGTTGAGGCAACTCCTAAGTACCTATCCATTACGAGGTTCAGATTACCAAATACTTTCAGTTTTCATAAAAGAAAGAAAAAGAAAATATAATGAACTGCTTGCTAATTTGTAGATTTCATTGCAATGTGCATATAAAAAAAACTTCCTGACAACCATTTCCATTGAAGCAGTTTGTCATGAGTATGATCTTGTCTTGTACTCCCATAGGAAACATAATTAAAGCAGATTTTACATACCTCTTTCCATCTGCTGGCCTTCCAAGTAGGACATCTTCCAGCTCTGCATATTTTGTACATCCGTGGTTTTTTCAAATGTCTGCAGTTTCCTTCCTCTACTTTAGCTTGGAAGCTATTAAAACAATGCACATCACGAAACTTCAAACCTTTCCCGCAGGAAACAGAACACTGAAAAGAGAAGTGTATTTCATTACTTTACTAAAAATCCCAAAGTAATACAAAAACCAGAAGGAGGTGTGGTCTCACCCAAAATGGACCCTATGATTATAGGAATAAGTTTCTACATTATGACACAACATCTAATGTACATATCTGAAATTTCTGTGTAAGCTCTCTCTCATACTGAGCATTACTGGTCAGATGCCAAACATCTCTCACATCTTGTTCATTCATTGATATCGTCACTGACAAATATCTGAGCTCGGCCATCCACATCTATGCAGGAGACAGCTTGATGTGACAGTCTCACAAGAACATGCTCTAGTAGCCTTCTGTTGCCAGTACATATATTGCTATTTTCATGTACGCATTATGCTTATCATAAGAATGAAAGAAAGGAAAACGCAAAATCGTGGACACGCATGTTTCCAACTATTAGGCTACAAAGTAGTGTTTGCTCTGGCACCTCACTTCCATGAGCTTTCAGTATCTTGCTATATGTGACACAGAGGCAAGAGAGGAGGTATAAAGTAGACATTACAGGCTATGGTGCAGTCCCTGGAAGCATAGCCTTGCCCCGCTGCCCCGGTATTCTGTTTCCTCCAGAAAGTTCCTATGATATACATGACTGTCTTTAGGACCTCCCTCCCTCCAACATAAAACCAATGGGGCTGCAGACACGTTTTGTCAAACCCACCCTGGCAGTACACACTAGCCATGATTACAGCATGTCCAACAGATCAGTCTCTTCTGGAGAAAGGACCATTCCTCTGTTTTATTCCTGGACTGCCATGAGACTCTAGTGAGGTTTGAATTTAATTCTTCAAACCAGGGCTGTCCTATTCACCTTCAGAGCAGAGCTGCAGGACCTAGGGAACTTTTGATCAAACAAGTTCTTCCAAATTAGGTGGCTAATCAGCTGATTTACCTTGGATCATGAGCATTTTGAATGTATTCAATTAAGTATTATTATTATTTTAATCTTGCCATTAATCTTCCTCTTTTATGTCATCCTATCAAAAAGTTTTGATCAATGGAGTTAATTCCTTTTCTGTCTAGAAAAAGAACATGCTTAATTTGTTCTAGGATTTCCTCTGTGCTTTATTTCACACCTGGACAAACATTTCCCATGCAATCAGGTAGGGAATTAAGAGTCAAATTAAAATTTAATTTCTAAGTGGATGTGAAAAGAAGGATTTAAATAAAGACTTTCTTCCAAAGCACCTAAGGTATTTCTCTTCCTTTTATCCTACATTGTCATCTACGTCACTAGCATTACACACTACCGAAATCAAGAATTTTTTAAAGGATATATCTTCTATTTTCAGGAAATGAAGTTCAGAACATCCACCTTTCAGTACAAAACCTGGCAAATATATGCCTGAGAACAACAGCTGTAGACATAACGGACGCCCAAACTCCTTCTTCCTTTTTATTCTTCAGTTGTATGTAAGTGAAGTGCAGCACAGAGTTCCTTAACCCCCTCCTACAATGTGTTAGGAAAACACACATGTCCTTCCTTCCCCAATGGCTTTCACCTGTGAGGCCTAAATTTGGCTCCAGAGGGCTGCCAGACAGGGCATGTCTAGTCCTTGTGGGGACGTCATTCCCAGCTCAGAACTGTAACCACAGAAGTTGTCCTAAGAAGTTTCCACTTCAGGAGGAGAGACCACCACAGCAGAGAATAATCTCACTCTTTAATTTCTCATTGCCCTCAACATTAAGTATCAAGACAGCACTTTTCATTAGCTATATATTTATATTTCTGCACAGATACATTTTACTTAACAAAAATGAGATTTATTGTACAGGGCTATTGGCTGCTAATAGCAATAGAATATGCAAAGCAGCCTTTTACCCTGCATCTCAGTCTCCTAAAGATCTTCTGGTAATATCTCTGTCCACTAGATTTTATGTTTACTTCTCAACAGGTTAGAATTGGGCCTATTTCAGCGAGGGAGGGGGTTGTTTTTTTTCTCTCTTCATTGGTCCAAACTCAGCTGAGTTACACCTCTTTTATGTTTAAATAGCCTAATTTAATCTTTATAATTTGTGCTATTCTGTCTTCTAAAGAAAGAAATTGAAGATTTGTGTGTAAAGTTAGCTTATAACAGTAAGATATTTTTCATAGTTAGAGCAATGCCTGTATAGATTATTTTAAGCTCTCTCTCATAAAGATGTTCTACTGAATTTTGTAATTAGGGTACAGTTATACATGAATTTTTTTTTAATCATATTAGATAACAAGCTGAAGAGGGAGTTCAGAAAGGAAAATACCAGTTTGGATGTTAAGAATAACAGCGGCTTTATAAACAGTTATTTCAAATACTACTTAAACTTTATTTCACTCAAATATTGGTTTGCTTTGATGACTCAAGCTAGCTGAAACATATTGTTATCTTAATGTTAAATGCAAAAACACAAATGAAAGATACTTAAAATCTGTAGGTAGAAATTATTTTCAATTATTTAAAAATATTTTTGCATTTTAAAAAAATAATTTAATTATTAAAAAAAAATTAACTTTGCAGTAATTAAATTTTTGAGGTTTTTTTTTCTTTCTGTAAGAGACAATAAGTTACAGAATGTTGGCAACTAATACCAAGAACATATGCACATTTAAATAATTATTTCCAGGGAGTTTTTTCATTCCATGTTAATTTAATGGTAATTTATCTTTAAGAACTTAAAAAGGCATGTTCAGCAAGGATTATGTTGAAAAACCTTAAATATGCATTAATTCCTTACAAACTGTACGTTTTCCAGAAATACAGAGACAGGATTTCTATATATAGATTTGCTGTCCTCTACTTTCACATAATCACCAAGGTACAGATCTGATCCTGTATATCCATGTATCCGAACCTCCTGTTAAATAGATCTTGCTCTGAAAAATAAACTTAATTTTGTAAGATAGGATTGACTAGTATCCTAATATTACAGGTTTCAACCCAAGAGCTTTTCAAGTTGCTGGGTGTATTTTTGTTGTTGTTTTTATTTTTTTTCTTAAGTCACAAAAGCAATTGAAGTTTAATTCATTAGGTTACTGTGTGGTTTTTGTTTCACTGAAGAAATGAAAGATCTTGATAGTTTTAAAAGCTAAAAAAAGGCCAGAGATTAAGCAGCAGTAGACCTCCGCTTAAATATGATTGCCCAAACTTAAAAACAAGTGAACTGCAAAACTAAGAAGTGCCTCAAAGCAGCTTTGCTAGAATCAGGTGCTCAGGACACTGTCTCCCCTGGAATTTTGTGGATCAACTCCTGCCCGCTTCAGTGCAGTTCCACAGGGCCAGATTCTTACGTCTGCTGCCGTTACCACCTCCAACCAGCATCAATCAATATGAGGAACAGAAACCTAAATATCTCTGAGGATCAGACCCTTTACAATTTCAATGGGACCTTGTTGAAATTTAAGCGACTATCCAGGATTGCTATTCTTATAGTCTCACATACACATCAGCTACAGAAGCACCTAGGCTGCCCTGAGCCACAGCCAAAGACCTTGAAGAGTTCCTTTCATGCTGAACAGTCTAATTTTACAACCATGCACAATCCTTTTAATGGACTGACCAGCTCAGTGCTTTACATGCCTGTAAGGACAACCACTATCCTGAAAACATGTTTTCCTCTGTTTCCACTAACAAGGTAAAAAAACAATTGCTGTAAGAGTACATTGAGCTCACAGCAGGTGCATAAGGCTCATCACAGAACACAATGATAGATGATATTTAGTGCAACCAAAGAGAAATGCTCCTAGTTTTTTCCTTTAATACATGAAAAAAGTAATGCACTCACCCTGGATGTAGGTGATCCAGGATAATCGATGGAAAGTTCAAAGGGGTATATTACTCTGTAGGTAGAGTATTCTCTTGAAATTGGACGTATTCTGACTTCATTCCTTAGATCATATATAAAAATAATTCTTCCTTCCTTCAAGAATGCCTTGGCATCAGATGCAGGCAGGCTCAGCTATGTTCTTCACTGGACAGTGACCCATCTTCAGCAAGAAAAATGAGGCCTGTCCAATACAGCATCTCATTGGAGGCTCCTGAACCGTAGGTAAGGGTTTTCTGTCCTCTAGCACAGAGAATGAATACCAAAGAATGGAAACCAGGTCTCAAATGCTGAATCTAAAGCTTTAATCAATATAAAGTGGGGATGACTCTTCTAACTTTTCTGTAAGGACAGAGCATAGGTCCTGCTTAGTTCTTTGAATGAAAAATATAGGTTCCGTAGAAGATCCCCAAGTGGGACTCCCAAATGGCTAAGGGCAACTAAATACAGCTTACAGGGACGCATCTGGCATTGAGCTCCATGTCCACCATGAGTGTTTTTATTAGAGCTGAATATTGCACACCCTGACCTAAGACACCTGCCTGACTAGCTTCCTTTCAGCTTTCTATCATCAGTAAGAAGCGTTAAATTCTCACTTGTACAGGAGTGAGGCCTTGTTCTGTGCTCTGGAAGCCACTGGTGTCCTTTCAAGTGCATCTAGCCCCTAGTGCATTTCCTATGAGGTTGAATTTTGCCCTTTATAAGTCCGTATTCCTTCTTGGAGTTCCTAACACATTATTACATGCAATCTGTGAAATACAGTCCTCTTATATCCTCCACGGGCTTGGTGCCCGTGCTGTTCTGTGAGATGCTCTGGTAGTGATCTTCTCAAGGCTTAACTCTCCTGATTGGGGAAAGTACAACTGCACTTAACTCTCTTGCTGCTTGACCTCCTTCCATTCAAACTTGAACATGGTCAAGAATAATGTAGTCCTTATGGCTCAACAGATCTATAATGTAGCTTTATTTGTATGACATTCCACACAACTGGGGGCTTATGGAGAGTACATTTTCCATATATTTTCGGCAGATTGCATGTGTAGAAAAAAAAAAATATCCATAAGAACCTCAAATCTCAAAAGAAATGTGAACATTTCTTTAAAAAAATGCAAGTTGAAAAACCATCCTGTAACCATTTTACACAGAAATTCTAGCACTTGTCTCAATGTTGGCCAAAGTAATATTTCCCATATGTCAGGTCCTTTAAAAAACATAAAACTACAGTAAAAAGCTGGACTTGATTACCATTGTTCAAAGTCATTCCATAACACTGGTAACTAGGATTCATCTGTTTGGGCTTTTTTTCATAGTAATAAAGTTCTGTGAGGATCAGCCTGATAGAACTCCTGGTGCTTTCTGTGGCACAGACAGACTCTCAGACAGGCATGCTATCATCAGTTCCTACCAAATTAAGGCTCTTTCTGCAGCCAACATGCAGAGTT